GCACCACGACGGCTTCGCCCTCTTCGATGCCGGAGCGACTTCCAACCGCTCATCAATCCACTACGGTCCCAAACGTGATCTGCTGAAGGAGCTCTTCGACGCTGCGAAGACCTACCAGCCCGAATTGAAGCGGGGTACCTACTTCTCGCTCCCCGAGTGGTTCAACCCAGACTTTGGCCCCTATGGCTTCGTCCAGTTCCCCACGCCATCAGCTGTCTCCTGGCCCGGTGTTCTAGCCTCCAACCCGTACACTGGGGAGCTTGAGCCCTACACCGGCCGCGTCCCCGTCAACGACTTCATCACCGACCTTATGGTGCCTCAAATGGAGACCCTTGCCTACGACTACGGCACAGACATCATGTGGTGCGACTGCGGCGCCGCCAACGGCACGCAAGACTTCGCGGCGACGTGGTGGAATAAGGCCCGCGCCGAGGGCCGTCAGGTCGCCATCAACTCCCGCTGCGGCATTCCGGAGGCGGCTGACTTTGACACGCCTGAGTACCAGACCTTTGCGTCCGCGCAACGACGCAAGTGGGAGAGCAACCGCGGCATGGACCCGTACAGCTACGGATACAACCGCGCGACGAAGCCCGAGGAGTACATGAATGCCACTACGATCGTGTACTCTCTCGTCGACATGGTGTCCAAGAACGGCAACTTCTTGTTGGACATTGGTCCCAAGGCAGATGGTACTATCGTTCAGGCTGAGATGGATAACCTGCGTGAGGCGGGCAAGTGGATCAAGGCCCATGAGGAGGCCATCTTCAACACCACGTACTGGTTTGTGCAGAGCGAGATCGTTGGTGGCCCGGATGTTAGGTTTACCCAGACGGAAGAGGCTTTCTACACAGTCTTCTTGGAGGAGCCGACCGTGGTTGACGGCTGGGTCTCTATCCGGGCACCTATCCCCGCCGTTGAAGGAGATATCATAAGTCTACTCAGCGTCGAAGGTGCTGAAGACCTCGAGTGGAAGATCAGCGGATCAGGAGTCAGCACTGAGTTGAAGATCAAGGTGGAGGAGGCTCTTATTGAGGCCGAACAGTTCGGTTGGGTTTTCAAGGTTCTTTACGCAGCATGATTCATGGGTGGCAATAGGTCAACGCCAGGCCCCGCACATCGGCAATAAAGATGATTGAAAGCAGGAAAATGCAAATGACACGCCCTCGAGACAAAACATGTAGTATAAGTTGCACGAGCAAAAGTGAATGCGTCGAGGGGGAATCGAACCCCCGGCTCCCCGACGCTGCTGGATGGCAACGGAGAATTTTACCACTAAACCATCGACGCTTGATTTTCGGAGAGACTTGCTGATCCAAGACCCCACCAATGTCCTGCGCGGACCCAGGCAAGGGCCGAGGGAGGTAGCCGGGGGTGGGTGACGGCTCGCATTCGCGCCTGCGGCAGCAGGCCTGGAAAGGGAGATCTATCATAGCGAGAGACATATCCAAAAGCCATCGTTCTGCGTAAGGAGCGACAGCCGGACACTAATCATGCTGGAAGTCTTGCCCGTTGACATCGAGTGTGGATATCGCGCAGCAAAGAGGTGTTTAGTCGGCCCAGCGGTAACAACAGCGACCTCAGAGCTAAGATTGGAATCGAAAGTTTTGAAAAACTGAGTAGCGTTGAGTGAAACTACTTACTAGGTTCCTCGTAGTTAAAGTCGAGAGGACGGAAAATTTGGTTGCAAAGCGATAAATTTTGCTAATTAATTGGTTCAATTGTTTGTTGGTATCCAAAATCGAGTCTTATTGATCGAGAGGCTACTCCTCCATAACTTCTGACTATCACGCAACCCGTTCTCCAGTACGAATGCAATCAAATGGATATGTATCATCGCTGTTATCATCCCATTCGCTATCATCAACATTACAGAGCACCGGCATCTCCTTGGCCAAGATTCTGGCAGACTTTTTCTTCACCTCAGGCGCGCTGATGATGGCCTCATAAAGATCAACTAACTCGTCACTGACGTTGACCGCATTATGGTAAGCCTTGGTATGCTGCAAGACGGCCTCGGACATGAAGGAGAGGAAATTCGTGGGAGTCTTGGCTGGAGGAGTACCGTTGAAAGGATTGCCTTCGATCGGGATGTATGTGAAGCCAGACGACTTGGCGCGATCTTTTGCCTTCTGTACGAGGCCTTGAATTTGTGTAAGAAACTTTCCCTGTAGAGGACCGTATATTGATACAATCTTGTCAATATTGCGATCCTGGGTGTCGTCCGTTGACCAAGCGTTCGGAACGATGTCAAGGGTATTGTAAAAGTCCGCGTTCCACAATTGATACCCGCCTGGGCCACTCACTTTCGACAGCTTGGAGTAGGCATCGCTGAAAAGCTGTTCGCCCGGTGTGGCTCCCGCGGAAGGAAGAGCGAGGATGTCACCCGCAATGTCAGCCACGCTCGGGACCAGATTGTTTGCCTTGGTTGCCAGGGACAGGTAGGGCGAAAGGGCTCCCCCGAGGCTGTGACCGGTGAAGATGACGCGGAACTCTCCCGGGCTCTTCTTGAGATTGGCGAGATAATTCAAGAGATTTGTGCCAGCTCCCGGGTTCCCGCTCGGCGACGCATGTGTTGCGACTGCCCAAGCACCGAAGGTCGTTCCCCAGGCACCGTAGGGAATGTCGCGGAAAGGAGGATTCTGGACCCCGACAGGCTTATCTGCGGAGCCGGTTGTAAAGTTTTTGGTATAGGCGTTGAAGTCTACCACCTTATCGACTCCAAAGTCCTCGAACTCCCAATCTTCAGTCGAAAATACAGTGGTACCAGCAATCGCCACGACGTATGTGTCGAACCTGGTTCCGTCAGGGTACTCGACATTGGGCGCCTTCATCACCATCCAGCAGTTATTCAAGCCTTCATACCATTTCGAGGTCTCCGACTTCCATACTCGGGGACCCCAGGTGATATCCCACCCGTACTGGCTCAGGTGCTTCTTGACCATGCGCTTGGCTGCGATGTTCATAGCCTCCTGGAGAACCAATTCGGGGCCCACGATGGAGCCTGCTAGGTTGGCAGTCAAAGATTGCAGATGGATCTGCCGGAAAAGATTTAGCGTAGACATGGTGGGATAGAACAGAATTAGGAAGTTCTTCAGTAGAGGCTGTGATGTTGGTGTTGGCTTGGATTGAGACCCTTGTGAGAGAGTAGGCAGCTTGAAGATTGGCGACAGCGGTATTTATCTTTCTAATGTCCACTGATCATTCTCTCAGTGATATATGATCTGCAGCCTTTGGGACAGTCGATGGCACTGAATGGGACTGATTCAGTCGGAGCTGAAATTACATGCCACACTCACTGATGCCGCATCCGGAGGAGCTGAGCTCCATGGGCTGACTGCTAGACACTTGCCGTTTGATGGATGGGCCGAGACCATAGGAATAAGTGCACTTAAGTGATCAGCCCTAGAGAGTTTCGATTTACTTATATTTCAGCTCTTGCATGACAAGCGAGACATCACGCGACGCCTGATGTTCGTTTTTAGCGAATCGAGATCAGGTTCAGGTTTTGCACGATAGCCAACAGACACAGCTGTAGACATGGATGCGTGCAGTGCAGAATAGTAAACGTAAATACTTACCTACTTTACCCTAGAACACACTCCCTAAGAATTGGAGATCCTCTTTTATCCTGACTCTCCCCTTAAGGGTCCAGCCCACGAGGGGTTTAAGACAGCCGGACGGGAAGGCCCGGTAGTCATGCTCCCGGCCCGTCTTAGAGACCCAGCTTTAGAATGGAGGGCTGGCCACCATGGAATATCAAGAGATGTGATCCACAGCAAAGGTGAGGTGAGCGGATTGCTGCGAGTTGCTACCGAGTCTGATTGGACTTGACACGAGCTGCGGTCCCAAGAACATTGATCTTGCTTGTAGCTAAGTTGAGAGACTATTCTCAGCCGCACGTGGAGGGTATTCGAACTTTTAATAGCTCGCTGCAAACGGGATTGTCGGACTAGTGCTCGGCAGCGGACTATGCTTAACACAGAATCAGCGTCTGCGAGACGGTTGCATGCATGGCTTCTGAAGCCACAGAGCCCTGAATGGCGGCCCAATTTGTGATGTGGCTGTCTGTCACCGTTCACAACTTACAACATCCTTCCTTGGCTGTAGCTCGACTGACCTGTCCATGAGAAATTTATAATTGTAGCCAGATGCCAACATTCTGTGTTACTTACCTACCCGTAGCCCGGCTAGAAAGAGAACAACCAAGCGATCTCTGCGCATTTGTGACTCGAGAAGTTGTCCGAGAATTTGAATGTGACAACCAAGTCGAAAGTCCACTACTTAGGTATCCCGCTGAATCTGGTTGAGAGGGAACAGAGCCAATGATTACTGTTGAACTGTTCTAAGGCGCCCCAATCTTGCGTGGCCTGGGATCACCGACCAACGATAGCGTCACTTTTGGGTGAAGTCAATTCTTTTGAGCACTCGGCATGAGTGAGAATGGTCCTGATTTGACTTCACGGCGAAAGTCGAGAGCATCTTGCAAGACGTTCCTCATCAAGTATGGTGTGGTCCATGCATTGTCGTCATAGTCAAACCTAGATTTCAAAGTAAAGTAAATAGCTTGCAGAGACGACGGGAGCGACTTGGAATGCTCTAGCTCGATTTTCTACGTATTGTGTCGCTTCGAGATGGCCATGTCACGTGCGTAGGGATGGAACATATCAAGTTACTTAAAGCGATACTAACCTAGGAAAGATTAAGCTATTGGTGTCGAGCCGATGATGAGGCTGTTGAAAAGGTTTACGAGGACTACTAAAGTCTGGACCCTACAGTGCCGTCGGTCCGACGCCAACGGACCGAGTGAATAATGGAGTTTATCCTCGGGTGAGGAGTTTTGTGATGATGTAGATACCGGTGGGATGAAAGTCTTAGGGAGCCCAAGAAGGGATGTTCAAATCATAGCAGTCGTTATTGAATAATTACAAAGCCGGTGAATCGCCACCATAGCCAATGAGATTACATCCAGCATGCTTTTCCAAACATGCAAGCTTCTTCTCTTACAAGATGAAAGCCGCCAGCATAGACAAACCAGCCAGGGACATCAGCAGGCCCGGAGCGGAGTCGGCAGCTCCGGATCCCGGAACCGTGGTGGGGGTGGCAGTCGGCGATGAACCGTTGGATGACTTGGACGCGTTGTACTGTGCCCAGATGAACTCAACTGCATCGTCGGTGTAATTGGCAAAGTATGAACCGTGAACGGCGGTGTTGTTACCGAGATCGCAGTAGATATCTCCCGTGTCGCAGTACGACTCGATCTTGGACGCGTATGCCTCGCACTTGGTCACATTCTCACGGGGGAAGAGCTAGAGACGAACGAGTCAGCAACTCCAATGTTGCACTATGAGACGTAGGGGCTTGATTCCGCCACCACGTTTCGCCAAGGTGGAACTTACTCCATTGCGCTTGCTCGTGCCCTTGTTCCAGCTTGCGCTGACATTGTGGGTTGGGTCTCCGAAGAGAATCACGGCGATGACTGAAGATGTGTAAGCTTCGCGATCATGTCAACGGAAAGTGACTGGGTGGGCAGCTACTAACCACTTTGGTCGACGACGGATGCGGGAACGGGCGCCGTCTGATTGAACTCAATGTTGAGAGCCTCGCCCTCGTCCTCGTCGACGCTGCCGCACAGAGTATCACCTGTCACTTGCGCACCCTAAAGTTTCATGCAAGTCAGCGGAAGAAAACAAAAGGAAATTTTCCAGCAGCCGTCCGATTTTCTCGCCCAATTGCCACCCTCCTTTCCGGCGCTCTGGTAAAATGGGAGATCACGTCGTCCCATGAAAGTGGGTTGGCGTTGATGCAGATGGCTGCGCGATATCGAAATCTTCAGTACGGCGTGAGCTTACCTGAGAGTATCCCAACAGCGCAACCTTGGAGTTCGGGCACCGTGCGTTGTACGAGGTCAACGCGGCGTTCAAAGCCACGGCGCCGGCTGCGACGGAGGTCGAGTAGTTGTCAAACGTCGCCGGGTAGTCGAGCGGCGCGATCTGGGACCCGGGAATGGCTGCGAAAGTGCCATTGGCGACGCTGCCGATTCTGCCGGATCCGGGAGCTTCGTTGCTGCCGCGGGCCACGATGATGTACACGCCGGTCGCGCAGGTGCTCGTTGCGTTTTGCGCCGTGGCGGCGGTGGCGGCGAGAATGCCGGTGAGGGCGGTGCTAGTCTTAACTCTCATTTTGGGTGGCGTCAACTCTCGGATCTATCGTACTGGAAGAATCAAGAGAGATATTCGGGGATGAAAGATTCGAAGAAGAGGCTTAAAAGGGCAGAGCAAGAGGCGGATGCGGAACGACCGGGGAGAACAAAGGCTCGTTGTCCAACGTCAGCGCCCAAGGAAAGCTCGGGGGAAACGGAGAGGTATTTATCAAGACTTGCATGACGTCGCATACTCACCGAGACCCCTTCGGCCAAGCAAACTAGAATGATATTCGCACTGAGACCTGCTCCCGCAGCTGCGGAAAGCTGTCGATGGGAAACCCACTTGGCCAAAACAGTTCCCCATTGCCGTGCTTTCTTAGTCGCAACAGGCTCGGAGACTCATCAGTGGGCTGGGGGAAAGCTAGCCTCCAGAAAACTACCTAATGCATATCGAGGTGTTCGGATCGTCAGGGGTCATCCCAGACCGCTCTCCGATGACGAATCAGCTGAGTGCCATGGCCAACAGACAGCCATCGATAGCCCTCTCTACTTCACACATGTTCGGCCCGTAGTGAGATAGTACACGTGTAGACCAGGACACCGGCTTCGAAGAGCTGCCGCGCGGGGTCAGGATTGACAGGGTGTAGCCTGCTGCGCGAGAAGGTGACCGTAAATGGCACATCTGGGTAGGCGAGCTAGGCACATTTTCAATGAGGGGTTCCTCATGAAGATCCAACAAACCTCGGCATTGGATCCAAATGAAGCATCGCGTTCAAATACCCCAGGTCTCCCTCCGGGTCTCTGGTCCCCTTTGGCGCGTATCAAGCTCCATTATTGGGTCCGCTTAGGTCCGGGTTACCCGGCGAGGTTGGGGGCTCACCAACTCGGGGTTGGAGGTTGGAGCCTGCGGACTTTTGAGTGCGGGGAAGAGATGCGCTTTGCCCGGTTTGTTGGCTCTCTCCGATTCCTTGCATTGCGACTTTAAATTGTGGACGAACCGAGGGGCGTCAGCTGCTGCGGATTGTTGATATTATTCGTATCGGAAGCACAAATGTAAATACAATGTTAAATGCTTCCTTCTTCCTCCCACATTACGTATTCCCTGACTTTGGCTATTTACAGTTTCAGAAACTTCAATACATCTTCCTGTTTGGGCGCAATTTAAATAAGAGCCTCGAGACCTAACACCAACTAAGCATTGGTAAACGATGAAACTCTCACAGAGCCACCCAATGCTTTTGTCGCGTAGTTGAAAATGCCATATCGATAGCCCATGAAGAACTCCCAGTTGTTGTACAGTGTGAATGACGCGCCCACAGTCTCGAAAGTCTGGCCGTCGACGCTATAGCTGAAGACAGTGTTGCCAGGCCCGCCAGGACGAATGTCAGCCACCATTCTGAGGTAGACGTCTCTCGCGTCTCCCAATGGCCTGCGCTCAACAACTGCCCCTGTCGAGTTCGTGGTCCAGTCGGTGTTCATGGTCAGACCTCCAATGGTGACGATGGAATACACATCCCCTTCCCGTTCGATGCCGATCCAAGAGGACTTATCGCGCAACGCTGCGAGTCCAACGCGGTCCCCGTCGGCCATGTTCGCAACGTTAAGGTGGACGGTGCCGGTTCCGATCGGTCCTCGAATTCTGTGGGTCAGGGTGTTGCGAGCCGAGTACAGGTCCGATGTCACAGTGACGGTGCGGAGTGTGATTCCGTTGTTGACCTCGATGCCACTGACATCGGGATTGTGATTCCATTCCCACTCGGGGCGGAGGGATGTGCCGGCAAACTCATCGGTGCGTAGAGCGCTCGGCACATCCGCCCGGGGAAGCGGGTACTCGTAGTCTCCCCAAGCACCGTTGACGGTCACGAGCGACGGGAAACCATCATCTCCCCAAGTGATGGGAGCCAGCACGGGGGAGCGGCCGCCGGGATAGATGTCCGTGAAGCCCATGTAATACCAATCTCCGTTCTGGGTGTCCACGAGACTGCCCTGGTGCGGCGACCCAGCATTCGGAACCGAACTAAGTGCGATTCTGTCCACGAGAACCTTGACTTCGTATGGACCCCACGGGCTGGATGACTTGAGCACGAATTGTCCATCAGGCGGTCTCGTCAGGAAGATGTAGTAGTTTCCGTCTCGCTTGTACATCCGCGCACCCTCCAGAGCACCAATATCGCTGGGCGTCTGGAATACCGTCTCTCGTCGAGTCTCCGAAAGTCCGTCGGCAGAGAGTTGCGCAACAGAAATCGCAGTGTTTCCATAGGCCACGTACGGGGTATCGTCATCGTCAAACAACAAGCCAACATCGTAGTAGCACGTGTCAATGGTGCCGGCTTTGGTCCAGGGCCCAGCAGGGTCAGGTGATGTGTAGACGTAGGTCTTTGAGAACTCTACGCAGGCTACAAAGTACCAGAGACCGTTGCTTGCCCGGTGTCGAAGAGAAGATGCCCAGATACCTTTGATATAGGCATTCTTGCCATCCGTCAAGTCGTATTGCGAGTTCCAATCGAGAACCGGAACTGAGTGGCTGACGTACTCCCAGTTGACCAAGTCTTTGGAGCGTAGGATGGGCGCACCGGGGGAGTAGTGCATGGTGGATGCCGTCAAGTAGTAGGTGTCTCCGACACGGTGAACCTCATTGTCGGCGAGGTCTTCCCATATGACCGGGTTGGTGAAGGTCTCTGCCACGATAGGGGCTGCCAAAGCAGCTATCGTGACAAGTGAGCGGAGCCAGGATCTCATCGTGTGGACGTGTTGATAGGCTCAATGTGTGATTTTGTAGGCTGGGGTGTCCTTGACTACTGAAATGAACGATTAGTTGAAGGGATGCCAGTTCGGTTTTATCATTTTCATCACAAACGCAAAATGGGTTCTCGGCCATCTCGGATCTCTTTCACTCGGTACGAGGACATCATGAAATCCAGTTTCAAGTATCTCATTGGGTCGTAAGATCTTGACTGTCGATCTACAGCCCAAGGAGATTGCGCTCCAGCTACGGTGCTTCATTATTTTTCTTCCGGCAGTTGCATGACTGCGGATGATGCAAAAGGGTAGCATCAGTTCAGCCGATGACCCCAGATTTTCATCTTGCATTCGGCCGACTGCATGGCTAGCTAAACCCCACAGACTCGGCCGGTGGGATGGCAGACACGCTCCAACCATTACCTCTCGGTTCGCAAGCCAAGGTTGCATTTTCAGCTCCGAACCGGCAGCATTCATTTTGCAGCGACAACTGATGCTACAGTAGTGGTCCCACGGATGACTGCCGCATCCGCGCCTATCAGCGGTCACATCATGACATGGAAGTCTTTCCCGCATCTCGGGAACGTTTTGCGTGCTCGGGAGACTAACGAATTTCGACGTTCGTGTAACCTGTTTGATTGATGCTTTTGGTGGACTTATTTAGCCATTTGATGAAGTTTGGATGAATGAAGAATCCGCGAATTTGAAAGACATTTTGTTCCAACCGCTTCATTTCGAATCCCGACTCTAGATTACCTTGGCATTATTCGAGTGAGCACTGTACTTTTTTCCTTTTTCTTTTTTTGTAGGGTTGGCATTGTATTTCTCATCATCTAGGTTTTCTCTTATCCGCTGCCAGATATCGACAATACAACACTATACACTTTTACAAGTAATAGTAATGAATGACATATTTGTCCCACTTTGTTTTCCTTTTGTTCGCTATGAATAGGTTGAGATTAAATACCTAAGAAGTTAGAGAAAGACTGGAGGCGGATGTGCTGCATCTGTGCTTCTAACAGTCGATGGGATACTCGCTATGTGACTGAACCGTGCAATTTCAGAGACAGAACCAGCGCAAGCAGAGATTTGCGTAGATCCAGCTGACGGCTCGAACAATGAGTTGTCAAGGTAATCTTTGAATGTAGGAGGAGCATTTGTTGCGGGAGGGACCTCCACCTTTGTGGTGGAGCTCCTCCCTATGACGATAATCATCAGCGACAATATGCAGGATGCATTATGTAGGGGACAGGACCTCCTGCCCGGTAAAGTACAGCTATAAGTTCAGTCCAGATTCGAGCAGCAAAATTCCTCCCTACGTTCGTTTATTCTCCATTCAAACAAGCTACCACAAGCAGCAAGATGTCTTTCGGCAAGCTCTACACGTATCCCAAAGCGCCTCGATCTACGATGGTGCTCTTCGTTGCCAAGTATAATAAACTCGACGTCGAAATTTGCAACGCATTCCCGATCAAAGTATACCCAGAAAAGGGCGGCGTCGGTGAAGAATATCTCTCCAAGTTCCACACTGGAAAAGTCCCCGCGCTGGAGACCGCCGATGGCTTTACTGTCTACGAAAGCAACGCAGTTGCATGGTTCCGTAAGTGCCAAGCTTATTGGGAACGATAGGCTCCGTAAAACTCACGGTACAACAGTGGCAAAGCAGGATCCAAACACAAAGCTGTGTGGATCTGGATTGAAGGAGGAGACAACTGTCCTTCGGTGGGCATCATTCACGAACTATGAGCTCCTGCCACCCATTATGGCATGGATAAGACCCATCATCGGACGGGCACCTAGCAGTCCTGAGATTCTCAAGACTTGTGAGGAGGCCTGTGAGTTGACCATTCGTGCCATCGAGAAGGAGATTACAGGGAAGAATTACCTCGTTGGAGATACGTTGACGCTTGCCGACCTCTTCGTCGTTTCTGGTCTCGCAAGAGGCTACCAATATGTGAGGACCTGTCTAACAAGAAACTCAAGTTCCCTAAATACAGTATCCGAAAAGTTACTGACTGTCTCCAAGGTCTTTACCAAAAGCTGGGCGGAAAAGCATCCTGTGGTACATGAGTATTATATGCGCGTCCGTAACGACAAAGATGGAATATTCGATAGCATACTCGGATCTAACATCATTCGTGACGAGCCTGGTGGTACTTATCCTGACTATGATGGCCTTTGAGCCTGGGAAAGCTTAGTACCTCCAGAGATCATAGCATTATCGGAACTTGAGAGGCGATTCAGAGAAATTCTGCAAGATTCAAAGGAGTCTGTATACTTTGAGATAGACTACACACT